GAAAAATCTGACACTGGCCATTCATACCAACAGTGAAATGATTCTAGCTCATTCAGGCTTCCTCCTTTCATTCTCCTGGAATGGCATGAAATAGAAACAAACAGTTGTAACCACCACAGGGAGTATTGCTGCAGTGTGCTGGCTGCTCTCATTCAGATTTCTTTTCCTGTGGATCCAGAAGTATTAATGTTATATTATCATTTTGAAGTTCTGATTTCTCTTACCTTCTTAAATCTGTGCTCTTCAAATAACAGCAGAAAAGTACATTTTATTTAGTACTGATTGAAGACAAAATTTTACAGGGAATTTCTCAGATAAGGACTGTGAAATTGATACTTGCAAACTGTCTACCTCCACTATACCAAGCCAAGTCTATCACAATCTTTGGTCCATTCAAATGACTATCCTTTGTCTCATTCCTAAGTCTTCCTTGAAGCTATCAATTAAGCTGTTTACAGTCCTCTAGAAGATGGAAAACCCTTCAATATTTAAAGGACTATGTCTATGATATTAAACTAATCGGCTATAAGGTCAGTATTATTGAGTAAGGCTGAATGAAGTTCCTTCAAATCACAAACCCTACAAGGTCTCTTGTCTCCTATCTCTGTTAAGATTTGCTACTATGTAGGCTCACCACTACATCTGGATTTAAAAACATATAATACATATACACACATATATGTGTGCATATGTGTATATAATTTACATATGTATGTATACATATGTGTGTGTATACACACACATGCGTGCAGAATCTGTTGGATTTGCAAAAAATATGGAATATTCTTGAGGATTGAGTGAACCAGGTAACTTTATTTTCCATAACTGCTCTTGAGCACTCTAAGCTATGCTGTGGTGAAGATGGCCAGATGCATTCTGCTTATGTTAGAGAGCAAAAGGGGCTATGTCATATATTGGTAGGAATAGTTTATGAATAGCTCATAGAATGCTTTAAATGAGGATCTCAAAACAATTATGTCAGGTAGATACTGCATAATTAAATGAAAAATGGATTTAATATAGTCAAAGGGAATATGCCTTTGACTCCCAGTATGCCTTAAGGCAATTAGGTAGTAGTTAGAAAAATGCAAGGATGGTCTAGCAAATGAAAAATCCATTTAAAGGATAATTTATTTAAAGTATTATAAAAGTGAGTGTATTTTTCAGAAATGGAAATGAAAAATGGATACACTATGGATACTCGGAGGATACACTGAGTTTCTCACACAGAGCACACAGAAGATACTTGACTGAGAGCTGAGAAGACAGAAGCTGATGGCAGAGGCTGATGGACAATCTTATTTAATATGAAACTTTGGAGAAAAAGTCTTTGGAGCTTTGCCTGTTGTTTTCCCCCCCACAAAAACAAAATGTAGCATTTTGTTTTCTTGGTCTGGGAAATTCAGATGTCATTTAAATTGGAGAGTGGTTGTACGATAGGACATGAATGCCCTACTTCCACTATCATTCTGCCTCACTCCCATCTCCTCCAGGCTCCTCAGTCTCTGGTGAGTTCATGGTATCTTCTGTTGTATATTACTAGATAAACCATCACCTTGACGAATTTTCCCCCCGTTTTGAGGCCTTAACATCAAATAGTTACACAGTCGAAGACAGAAATGTATTAGAAGAATGGAATATTTTCTTTGGCAAAAAAAAAAATCCAATCCAAACCAAAACCAATGCTTCCCCTCCCCCCAACCAAAAACATTTACAACGTTTCTTTGGTTAAACTGAAATGGCAAAATTTCAGTTGGAATCTGAACATTTAAAATTTTGTAAGCATTTTCAGGAATCTAGTTCCTCCATATAAAAATTCAGTGCATAACATTTCAAAAACTGAAAGCTAATAAGTATTCCCAGTTTTGTAAGGGTTTGATTCTGGATAATAGTTAAGGAAACCTTCTCTGTGGATCTTAACCATTTCACAAATTAAAGCCTATTCAATAATCTCAGAACACAGATTTCCATACCTAGATGGAGCTATTCCACAGGTCACCTAAAATATCAGTGAGAGGTCTGTTAGCCTTAATTTTAGATGATGATAGAATGGTTGAAAAGTCTTAAAATGCCCTTCATTTCCAAATAAATATAATACCCAAAGGTACAGAAACTCAATATAGTTAGAGAAACATTTGTCATACAATAATGCTCTGTAAAAAGTCATTTTGGTTGACCAAATTGAATGATTAATTCTCAACAAAATCCATTTAATTGGTTTGCTTGTTGTGTCAGTTTTGTGAGGTCCTTTCAGCCACATTACTTCATGTTGGCAACACTAAATCAATTGCTGATTTAGAACACACTGTTCAAAAAATGATTCAGTAATACAGGATTTAAAAAAAAAAATCAAACCAACTCCCTCTTCAGCACTGTTTTACAAATACTTACTTCTTACAAACCCCCTTGGAGAGATAATTGGTCTCAATTCCATCATGCAACTTGCCCTTTTCTTAGGGCCAAACTCTCATATTAAGACCCATTATCTTCTGGTAGAGTGAATAAATATATGGCCTTATTGCTCAGTATGAATTAAGGGAATGAGTTGTGCATTAGAAGAAATCACTTATTTATTTCTTTAGACTATGTCGACACAGGCAAGTGAAATATTGGAGATCATAAATTTAGAATGGTAAGGGACCTTAGAGACAATAAAGTTGAACCCCCTCATTTTACAGATGAGGAAACTGAGGCACAGTGAGATTATGTGACTTGCCCAGGGTCATACAGCTAGTAAGTGTATGCTGTTCCACGCTCAGCCCTGTACGCACGGCACCACCTAGCTAACTCAAGGAATATGAGTTTATCCAATGTATCTTTGTGTGGAAATTACCTTAACTCCCAGGAAATTTTTACTAAGTGCTATCTTTTGAATGTACTTGGCCAATTTAATTACAAAGGTGCTTCTTCATAAGTTTCTATGAGATGGTCACTAAAATCTTATAAACAAAATCCAAGAAAATTTCCCATAGATGTAGGTAGAAAAGAGTAATAGCATTCCAGTGAAACCATGTTAAAAAGATAAAGATGAAGAAAAAATTTCCATTTGAAACTTTGTCAGAAAAGTAAGCAGCTTAGTCTGTTGAGAATAAAGTAAGTAAATAAAACATTTGCTAAGTAAAACATATTTGGAAGATTCTCACCAGTGTAGACATCCACTCAGGATAACATCTACATATGGGAATTGCATTGCAGTATTTGTCTCAAACTTTCCTCGGCCTCTACTTTTGTTTTTACAGAGTCAAAGGGAAACAGGACCTGGGAACAACCCAAATTCATGAGCACAGCTATTTTCAGATCAGACCAATTTTGACTAGACCTGTTAACCTCTTCATTCAGCTTTTGGTCAACAGCATAAAAGCCCAGTAGTGTCAACACATGAAAAAGATCTTGTCAAAGAGTCAAGGAAAAACAGGACCTGAGAATCTCCCACAATTCATGAGCACAGCTATTTTCAGATCAAAACAATTCTTACTCGGTCCATTAACAATTCTTCATCCAGCTTTTGGTTAACTGTACCAAAACCCAGGAATGCCAACATTAAGAGAAGGGACACTAAAGAGAGAGAGGGGGCCAGAGAGAGGGAAGAAGAATATCACTTAGTGATGGAATAAAAGTTCCCAAGAAGAGGGGAAAGCTGATATGTGCCATCAATTGCTTTGTGTTTATAACTCATCTAGTTGCCTTCTACATCCTGTCTGTCCCTTTCCTACCCTGTAATACTATAGTATTTGCTCTTTCCAGGGTGAATTCTTGGGCTAAGCCCCTCCCTGTCCCTAGTCTTGCTTCTTTTTGTGTACAACACTGAAACAGTTAAATCAAGGCATGCCTTACAGGTAAAGTAGGCTGGCACTATAAATTGGAAACTATAGGAAGCAATCACTTAGTTTTTCCTCCTTAGCAATGTAGCTCTCCCTCTTCCACCACCCCTTCCTCAATATTCCTAAGACCAACTCTCCTAAGAATGAATTGCCATAACTCTGCTACAAACAATTTCAGCAGCTGGACTGTCCCTTACCAAAACGAAGTGCCATTGAAATGTGGATACAGCCTCAATGGTAGTCTCTGTGTATAGAGAAATGCACTTTTTTTTTTGCCATCATAATGCTTAAATACTTATTTTTGTTTTGTTATTAATAGTCAATGGTTCCTTGAAAAGTGGTAATTAATAAATCATCTCTCTCATGAGAAGCTACTAAACATTCTAAAGCAGAATGACAGATTTCAGAACGATGACAATTGAATTAAAAAAAGGTACATTGATCAAAATACAAAGTTATTAAAATTATTGTAAAGGATATAAATGACCTTTTATAAAACTACTTCATTCAAGTAATTTTTTGGAGGGTAGGGAAATACATTTCTAACTTGGTAAATGGGAGATGGCATTTCCAGCTTGTTTTTGTTGGGGGCAAAGTTTCATAAACTTTTCCATCGAAGGAAAAAATAAAAATTATACACAATGGCTAAGATCTCAAATAGCTGACTCACTGACTTGAATTATTGCTCTGTAGAAAGTTTGTAAAGCTAAACTACTCCAGCCTTGACAGTTGACCTTTCAGTCAGTGGGGCTCAGTCACAACACAACAGCAGCTACAACATAAAGTACGATCTTGCTCCCTAATGCATTTCCCCTTATTAGATCTTATTTTAGGGACTAAAAGTCATGTGCGTGTGCATGCATGCATGGTAAGTGTCTGCACATGTGGTGTTTGTGTGTATGTGTGTGAGTGTGTGTGCATGTATATTAATTCTTTCTGATCACATCCCTTTATTTTGGAGACAGAAAACATGACGCGCTCATTTTCCCTTTCCCTCCACTGTTCTGGATATACCTATTTCAGAGAGAGAGAGAAAAAGAGAAAGGGGGCGAGGGGAAGAGAGGAAGGGGGAGGGAAGAGAAGAGAGAGAGAGAGAGAGAGAGAGAGAGACAGAGACAGAGACAGAGACAGAGACAGAATGAGAGAGAGAGAGAGAGAGAGAGAGAGAGAGAGGAAAGACTGAGAGACATGGGAGCAGAGAGAGAGAGAGAGAAAGAGAAAGAGAGAAAGAAAGAGAGAGAGAATGAACGAACTAATCATTTCATCAACATAATCTCTTTGCTCTCAATAAGACCTAGGGTGAAAAAGCAAAAAATAGACACAGTCAGACTGTTGTAATTTGGTCAACCACTCGGGTACTATCCATATCCACCATTTCGACACACTCAATTTCCTCCCGATTTTCGGGATTTTTCTTCTCTTTCCTTTTTTTCTTGGAGGGTGGTAGGAAAGTCAGTATCACAGGTAAAATGGCAAAGCAGTGAAAGAAGGTGACAAATGCTATTAAAAATAAGCACCTGAACAGTGTACAGGTCAGATTTGAAGGCACAGCTGCAAGAGGAATCAGACCAACAATATAGCAGAGGTAACTCTGTAAAATAGCTACCCCATGCATTTCCAGGGCATTTTTTACCCATTTAGTTCTTGTGAAATCCTTGCCCAGGACAAATGTTGATAATAGTGGAGCACAGTTGTCAATTGTGTGGTTAATTCCATATATTAAGCACAGCATAGAAATGCAGTCCAGTTCTACTTTCCACAATGTCATGAAGCCTATAACTCCAAACTCAACTGAGGCGACGGTTAGAGTGATCCAGACATTAATTAGGGAGTCTGCCACCAGGAACGCAGAGAAGAAGAGCAAGAATAAAGCACTAATGCAGGAGTTCTGCAAGGGGGCTCCCAGAGAGGAAGAATATCGGTCCATAAACACAAAGGATGGATTGAACACTATGAATTTCACCTTGGAGGTGACAGAAAGTCTTCTTAGGGTCTCTAGGAGATCATAGAGCTCTTCTCTGTTGGTTTCCATCGTCTTGGCTACCAGGAACATCCTGGAAGCCACAACATCAACCTCATTGTTAAACTTTTTGGAGAAGATGATGTCCTCTGAAAAATGTGAGAACTGGGGGGCTTTCAGGAAGGAGTTTCTCAACATGTCTGTAAAATTTTTCTTGGGCAAGCCAGTGGTTGCATTGAGTTTCCTAAGATAATTCAAGTAGCTTTCAAACCATGATATCCTCACAAACCCCTTGGTATACTCTAGCACGTCTTCTTGGACACTCGTATTCCAGTATTCTATCGACTCATAGATATAAAACCCAATCACTGGGCTGTAGTTACTAAAATACTTTTGCTGGGCAGTAGTGAACTCAATGGTTCTTGTTGCCGTTGCTACGATGTTACTAAGGTCTGACCCTTCCCTGACCTGCAGGTAGCCCATTAAGGCAAAGGAAATATAAATAAGGTAAAAGAGCACTACAAAAGGCTTAACATAAGTGTTGGTTATCCAGTCACAGTAATAGCGTTTGAGGAAACATACCAACAGGTGACTTTCATATGTGTTTGCTTCCTCTCCATCCGCTGTATCCTCACTGAATCTGGCCGTCAGAAGAAACCTGTACCACGCAGGCTTCTCTTGCAACACCTCTGGCTTTGGGACTTTTCTGCAGAAGAGACTATGCTGGTAATTGTTTTCTATGTAGCCAGTAAACACCAGGCTGGAACCATAAAATGAGAGTACATAGAGGTAGTTGAAGAAGATTGCAATACAGGAATTACAGCAGAAAATTCTGGCTGCTTCAATGTTAGTGAAAGGGCTGGCACCAATCCCAAAGGTGACCAGGTACATGGCAGTGGTGAGAGAAAAGGAGAGCATGGAGTCTGCATAGACAGCTGCAGTTCTCTCTTTAACATGTTGGTCTTCTCTAGTTTTCCTCCAGGAGGATAACATTTCAAAAGTCCCGTATAATCCATGACCTGGGGGGTGCAAAAAAGATCAAAGCGAGAGTTTAAGGTATTTGTCCTTGGAGTGAGGAATGAGCTGATTTAAACATTGGGAGAGGACAAGGCAAAAGCAAATAAGGATAACTGACTTTAAGGGCGAGAGCCTCAAACAGTGGAGATTTCTGCAAAGGGAAAAGAGTACTGAAATTTAATAAATTATAAAACTTCCATTAGTTATGAAAATGTTACAGGGGGAAAAGCTAGTATCTTTACTTTGGTACATTATACTGGCAAAAACAACAGCAGCAAGAACTTTAATGGAAGTTGGGAAAGCTATCTCTTTAGGGGCCCAGAAAGATTGTCATAATACCCACCATTAGATTATTTGCATAGTATAGATGCCATTTCAATTTCTCCCATATTTTAGAATGTCCATGTTAGAGGATGGTCCGACTTTATTATCCCAGGCATTATCCCTGCAGGTTAGCAGGCAGGATAGAAACAGGCAGAATCTTTTGGGTTAATATCCATGTAATCCCTTATTGAAAATTGCCCTAGGGCTGGACTTCACTGGGAACTGAGTCCCTAGATTTCACCTGAGCTCTTGATAGGTAACCTAATTTTCAACCCCTTTTATTTCTCCTCAAATACCAGGAAGCAGGAAACCATAAATCAAACATGCTGAGGAAGTAAAATATGTATAAACAAATGCAATCAAAATTAAAAGCTGGAATTGGCAAAAAAGATAAGATTCAGAATGTGAAATATTTATTTGTATTTAAAACAAAATAGGCTGAAGCTATTTTCATCTTTGTATTAATACAAATAAAAAAAGTGAAGGATCTATGATTTCATCAGTGTGGGGGTGTGTGAGAAATCCCTCTACCAATATATTTTGCATCCTGTTTATGAATGAATAAATCACTTCAAAGGGTTTTGCTTGAAGCATGCCCTGTCACAGAGCTACTAAATATCTGAGGTGAAATCAAACCCTACCTGATTTCAAGCTGAGCACATTCTCCACTATGCCATGTGGCTTCCGAGTGTGTGCTTCTGAAACTGTGTCTATGTTTTACTGTGGTACCTTTTTTACAGACTTGTACCTAAGTAATTTTCTTTTGGAAAGGACGTCTGATTTCAGTGAAATAGGGAACACCCAATGAGAAAACTCCCTTGATCAAATCAGATCCACACCTGCACTAGTCCACCTGCACACCTGCATTAGTCCATTCACTGTGGCAGAAAGTTGCTTGGGGCATAGAGGAGTTACAGTGACTTAACCAGAGACGGCAGTCGAACTTAGGTTTTCCTGATTTGAAGGCCAACTCTCTTTTCCATACTGACTCTCCTAGTAAAAATGATACTTATTTAAATGATATACTTACATTTGTAATGATAATTACTTATATATACTCTCCATATAATTTAATTACTATAATAATAGTAATAATAAAAATCATGTTTTTATAGCACTTTAGGGCTCACAAAGTAGTTTTGTTAAAACAATTTTGTGAGCCAGGAAATGCACTATATAAATGTTTGGGTTTTGCATCCCATTTTAAAAGATTTTTTTTTTAAAACAAGGTCTAATTACCCACAGACTCTGTCTTGGACAGGCAATAGCATTCCAAGCATCTCTTCATGTTTGGCAATGGAACCTGACCCAATGAGGGATAAAGCCAAGGCAAGAATTCATTAAATCCTTTGCTACTCTCATTAGTCCATCGGCAACATCGGGAAGGCTGCATTCAGTGTAGCCACTGATTCCTTTCTACTCTCAAACCTGAGTTTTCTTCTTGCCCCTTCAATCTTACTCAAGTGGCTTGCCACTGCCACCCCAGTGACCCGATCCAGTGGGAAATAACCCTCAGTCTTTGCAAGAGGATCAACAGATCTAATTTTATGCTTCCATGCCTTGGGATATTCAATCCCATTATTGAGGATAATAAAATCTTTACCCTGTGGTACAATAGTCTTGTTTTTAAAAAGGAATTTAAAATCTCCAGCCAAGCATAGTGTGGAGTGGAATGAGTCACCACCTTCCGTGTACAATAACAAAGTTTGAGTCTGCCCCTCGTGCCCAGGACAGTATTTATATCCTGACTGTGAAGTCCTGACTGAAAACACCAACACCCTTTTTACAATAATGACACAGACCTGTTTCTGCAGAGGAATTTGGCATTTATCTTAATTTACCCAGCACTGTTTTACAGCAGCTTTCTGGGGGCAGGTCAAGAGCATCAATTTGATAACTAGCGCTGTGCCCTCTATTAAACCAGATGTGTCGCAACTCCCCAGACAGAAAGTAAAAACTACAATCAGGGAATGACATTCTGTTGTTAATTATGTTTTAAATAGTTATGTTCTCTAGTCTCAGTGGGAAAACTATTAAGCTTGTTTCAAATGTGGCCTTCTGAAAAGACAGAGTGACCTTTGCTTAAAAATAAATGGGCATGAGCCAGTGAGGGAAAAGAAAGGTGTAGCTCCATAGTGCCTCCAAGTTGTGGAGATGGGAAGCAGTTTTGTATAAAGCCACTGTTCTGGAAAATAGAACAGCTGAAGGAAGGCATGCTTAAAAGCAAATAACTTTTCACCACAAGCATTTTTTTTAACCAAAAAATAACCTCAAGACAGTTTGAGCCATTAAATATAGAAGAAAAGGAACCAAACCCGTGATTATAATAACAAAGTTACATTCATTTATCAGGTTTTATGATTCTTAATTCAATGTAATTAATTTATTAATAGTGTTCATATATTTTTATTCATGTAATTTTTTGGATAATGTCATTATTTGATATTGCTTCTTGTCTTCCTCAGTACCTCACGTATACTATAATCTATTAAACTCTAAGGAAAATATGAGCAAACCCTTAAGGACTAATTTTTTTGCTTTGCTGCTGCACAATTTTAGAAGCTAATCTGAAAAAGGAAATTTGTACTAACTGAACTATTACATGAAATGAGTGGGGGCACGTAATAAAACCCATCCTGCTCAAGAAAGGTGCTGATAGGTTATTACCCTGTTTCCACTAAATCTTTATTGCTGCATACTAAGTACCCTGCACTTCCACAGGCATCAGATAATTGTCCTCAATTTTGAAAATCTTTTGAATATAAGCTGTGCACATGCTAATAGAAAAGAGGCAGTCAAGGAATGAACTGAACTTTGAGTTGTAAGTTCTTGGGAAAGAATTTGGCTTCTTTTTTGCCTCCATAAATAGGAGCTCATTGAAAGAAAATTATGGAGAAAGAAGAGAGTCTGTCCTTAAAGCCTTTCACAGCATATGTTGTTTTGTTTTTGGTAACAAACAGAGGAGGGCCAAGGGGAGGTGCTGAAAATGAACTTGAGCTATTCCTTGGGCCTCTTATTCTGATAGTCTTTTCTCCAAGGTCCCTTTATCATTATTCTTTTACTTCACCAATGTATTGGTCTTCCAGTGATCCAAACCCATGTTAAGTTCCTGTTCTCATAAAGAGTTTCTGGGCCCTTAGCCTCAAATGAAGTCCCATAGCTCTTCAGATGAGGCTTTTAGGGTCTTCCTGGCAGTTGGTGATATCAGAAGGGGAGCTTACTTTCTGGAGCTCAGTCTTGGTAAAGGAAAAAAGAAAAGCCAACACAGGTTCTGCTGCTAATGAAACACTAGCAATGTAGGCTTGTAGGCCCAGATTCCCTTTTCACAAATTTGGCAGCATAATGTATTGGAAAGAATAGTGGAATTGGAGTGTACAAGTATAGAAGAGGCCATGTCTTATTTAAACTAGACTATCTTCTCAGGCTAAGCACAGTGCTTTGCTGAATACTATTACACCCATACATATACACATGTTACATAGATATGTAGTGTGCATACAACACAGTGAGAGAAGCCCTGTGGCACAATTTGAACATATATGTGTACAGAAAAATCATGGGTCTGCGTAAACACACATTATATGTAAATATATACATACACATGTAAAATATATATGCATATATATGAGACATATACAGATATCTCCCTCCCAAATGGTCATATGGCCTATCTGTGGAACTGTGGTAGAACCTTCTGAGCTCATATTGGTATGGACACACTCTACATTGATTCTGATATCATGATGTCATTTTAGTCCTGTTTGAGCACGAATTACAAACAACAATAATGATAACACCATACACACCTATGTGTGTGTATGTCTTATTTAAATTACCTCCTTAAGACTAAGCACAGTGCTCTGCTGAATACTACTATATACACATACATCCATAATACTACATAAATATGTACACATATGTGTAATACATATTAAAATAGTGCCATAGGGCTGTGTATATGTGTAAATACACATGCGTGTTTATATGTATGTATGTATGCATGTATAGATATACACAGGGAAATCACAGGTCTGGACAAATACTATATATAAATGTATATACATACATATAGATATAGATGTAAGTATTTCTAGATACAGATTCTTTCTATCTATCTATCTATCTATCTATCTATCTATTCTATCTATCTATATCTTTCTATCTAATATTACACATGCACACATATATGTGTGATTGTATTGGTACAGGAAAATTCCAGTGAGAAAACTCCCCCTCTATCAATGGCATCACAACAATGCAATGAGGTAAAATCTTACTAATCCTCTTTTTGTAGAATATGAAAGTATAGCTCAGAGTGAAGTGATTTTCCTAAGGTCATAGAACAAATGACAGTTAGAACTTGAGCATGGACATTCTGGCTCCTGGTTCAAGGTTCAGTCTGTTCTCGACGCTGCCTCTCTATTATCCCTATATAGCAGATGGGAAAACTAAGCCTCAGAGAGGGTGAGGTAATCTGGCCAAGTTCACACAGTCAGAAAAGGGCAATCACAATTCCATTCCAGGTATTCTACCTCTATATTCAATGCCCATTAGGTTAACATCATAGTGGCCTTGATAGAACAGAAATTATATGGGCAAATTTCCCTATTTAATCTTGTTAAAGGGCTTTGCCCTGCATATAAGACAAGATCTCTATGCTGCTGAGTTCCCGTCGCCA